AAAGTCTGAATATATAAAATGAATGTCTGAATATATAAAATGAAAGTCAATATATGGAATGAAAGTCTGAATATATAAAATTAATGTCTGAATATATAAAATTAATGTCTGAATGTATGTGAAAGTGTGAATATATGGGGGGAAAAAAGCAAATTTTATAGAATTGCAAATTTGACAATTATCACTGAATAATGTGCAGCTTGTTTTATGCTCGTTATCAGAGCAATAGCCTTTTGAATTGTGATTCATTTAAAAATGTCATTCCCTGAAATTTTCCAATACTTTGTTGAGCTACAAGACTTTTTTGCAACAGCTGGTCATACTCCAAACAACACAAACAGTTTGGAGTCTACATGTCATCCTGAGGATCATATTTCCATTATTGCAGCATTCTTAGTGCTTATGGGCAATGGTGTTCAACAAAATGTTGCTGAAAGAACATTATGCATCATTCTCGAAGGAATTTATGAATCTCTTAGGGAAATGTTGGCTGAAATAGTGCCTCAGGTAGAAGCTGATATACAAGTGCATGGTATAGGTACATATTCTGCATCACAGAGAGGAAGGCTGAGGTAAGTGATGATAATGAATTATACTGTCACCTCTTTGCAAGTTGCAAAAAAAATAATTAATACAAGTTATGCATTAACACTTCGTGAATTAGCACATTTTTGTTATTTTGTTTTTTCTCATTTGAGGTACAACATACCAGCTGCTCTGTTGATTCACATGCGGGACTTAGGATTTAGCTGGATGGCCATATCGCGAATGTTGTCTGTAAACATTCGAACACTGTACAACCACAGGAGACAACTTGGTTTAGTGGACTATGGGAGTTTCACAAACATTTCAAATTATGATCTTGATCATCTTATTACTGAGGTTCTTCAACAAACCCCTGGATCGGGAGAGACCTACATCACTGGTAGTTTGAGAGGAAGAGGGATCAGAGTTCAGCGATGGCGAGTGCGAGAGCGTTTAAGAATAGTGGATCCAGTGGGAAGAGCCTTAAGAGGACGAAGGGCTATTCAACGGAGGGTCTACAATGTCTCTGTCCCAAATCAACTGTGGTATGTGTTTTTTACATTTGGAAAAAATACAGTTATTACTCCCTAGCTGGTCAATGAAGTGAATTTGGAAAAAATAGTTATTACTCCCTAGCTGGTCAATGAAGCAAGAGGGATGTATAAAAATAATAATAATTATTATT